TCTCATTTGTTTCTTTCAGCATGAAACATGCATTTTTTTCTTCACATCCCCATTCTACCAGAAGCCCGGAGAACCAACCCTCTCCAGAGCAAGAAACAGCAAGAAAGGAATATCACTGTTATTTGAACAGAGTATTTGCTGCTTTGAAAAGAATTAATCAGATGACAAAAGAATCTTCAATAAGATTAAGTGAGTCCGGATATTATTAAGGAGAAATATGTACTTATCATGAATTGTGAAATTATATGAAACAATGAGCGAAGTAATTTCTTATTTTTAGTCATTCTTTTAAGCAAGAAAAGTATATAAAATATGGAGAGTTGATAGTTAACATTTTAAGAATCTTTTTAAAGATTATATAGGGTATTTGATGTAGAGTCTAATTAATATAAAGTTAATGTGTATTTTCAAATATCTTGCATGCGGTTTTATAGTTGATGAAATTCTGCTGGTTGTTTATAGTCCCAGTTACTGATCTATTAGAATTTAGATCATTATGTAATCTATAGGGCCCTAAAAACAAGGTATTGTTTGACAAGGATAGTTGTATGTTAATATTGTAATGTATCTGTTTACTATGGCTTTGTTTTATAGTTTGCATAACATTCTGGTTTATTTACAGTTCTTGGAAAAATCCAGTTTTCCTTCTTCCCCTTGCTTCAGTATCATATTCTTTCAAGTATGTTTCAAAGATCTGCTTCCTCTGAGTTGGGTCTTGGGTGTTCCTTGAAGCTGCAGACGGAAGGAGAATATTTTTTTCCACCATTATCTTGCTGTTGTGTGAGAGAGAGATCACAGATCTCACCTTCTAAGTTTTGTGTTTGTTTGACTTCTGAAGAATTAAAGCTAGCTTATATAAAGGTCACTGTATCTGTCCCATCTTTTTCAATTTTTTGAAAAGTAAAATTTTAATTTTAAAATTAAAATTTACCTTTATCCTTATTTTTGTAAAGAACCCAAGGCAGCATCATTAACTTTGTTATAAAAATGCATTTTTCAAGACTTTATTTCTGTCTTTTGTTGTAGTTGAAATGAATATTCACTCAATAGACATTTATAAGAAGATCTGTAGCAATAAAAATTATATGAAATGGTTATCACAAATGTTATGAAGATTTAAACTTAAAACAAAAATTGGTATCCTATCGATATTATTTTAAGATAAATTTTCTGTTTTAAAAACAAGTTAAAATTTGAAACCAGTGCTTTTAACATGAGTTTCTGAGAAAAATGAAACTTTCCCAACCTTATTTGCCCCTCTCCTTTCTGCTTCTTGTTCAGTATATTTATATCTTTGATTTTAATGCATATATTTTCTCCTCCATTTTGTTACATGAACCAAAGCTTTAAAGCAATAGGCTTTACAGAAATAAAATGTCTGTGTCATTCTCTATCTATCTATCTATCATCTTCCATCCATCCATCCATCTCTTATGTATCATCTATCTTACTATCTTATCTATCATCTGTCTGTCTGTCTGTCTATCATCTGTCATATCTATTTAAAAATAGAAGATTTCTTTTTTTATAAAAAGTTTTTTATTTTTATATTTCATATCTCTTTTAGTGAACAGTGTGATTCCAGGTTTTTACATTTCCATACAAATATGACTTTAGTTACATATTCATTTTTCACAGTCAGTTTCATATCATATCATTACATTTATAGTTTCTATAAATTTTCTCAAACGTTCTTATATTCTTCACATTATATATATTTTCTATTCATCTTAGCTTCATTCATTTTTCTTTATTCTCATGTCTTTATAAAATATTTTAAAATCTTATTTCTTGTTCTATACTCATTGTACTTATACTTTTATCTGTCACATTTGCAAATTCATCACATACTCTTACTTCATTATTCAAAAAATTCCATCGTAGTTCTAATAATTCAAAGATCTCCCCCTTTAACTACTAATTTGAGTGTGCCACTCCTTTGTCTTATACATCATTCAATTAACTCCCCTTTGATTCATAGTATTGATATAATATAATCACATTTTAGTTTTTTTTTTTTTGAGTTAGTAACAATCTCCTAGCTACTGCATACCAGATCTATATTTTAAGGCAGATTTTGCATGATATTTTCCCCTTGATTACATTCTAATTCATTTATTATTTCAAGTACATTAATCTACTCAATATATCATGAAAACTGTTATTAATCTTTTTATAACAATCCTCATAGTACATTTTAGGTATATTCTTAATTTTATTAACCATATTTAACATACTTATAACTTCCCATTTTCACATTTATTCCAATTATGTCTATGTATAATTTGATAATAACAATAGTCCCATAGCAAAAATACCCCACATAAGTTTAGCTACATTCTAAATCATTTATCACTTCAAATACATTTAGATTAGTACGCATTACCTTGCAGAATCCCCCTTTTTTAATCTATATCTACCCACTATCTCTATGTCTCCTAACTGAACAATTTATTTTAATTTTTGTTCAATTTCCATATCTCTTTATTTTCTGCTCCTTTCTCTTATTACCTCTTTTTCCCCTCATTTTTCCCCTCCATATCTTACTCCAATTTTTATCCCCCTCGCTCTTTAAAGTTTTCTTCTGTAATTCCCTTTTCTGCTGTTTCCTTTTTTTTGTTTGGCTTTCCAAACATTTCCCTTTTTAATTATCTCCTCAGACCTCCAAGTTTTAATTTCCATTATTTTTCCCTTTCGCTTTAGTGTTTGTTGTTCCATTTGTTTGTTAAAGCTGGCCAGCTTTGATTGGCTCCTCCCCTTCTGCACTCCTTGTTCTTTGTTCTCCACAATCGCCATTTCTATTAGTTGTAAGGCAATACAACACGGTTCATTTCTTTCCTGTACTATTTCCTTTATACTGTATATCTTAGTTCCATTATTATTTCCAAAAAGAGTTCTGCCATTTTTGTACACTTCTTTTAGGTTTTCTTTATTCCTTTATTCCTTTCTTTAATATTTAAATCCAAATCAATTGTCCAGTAGTTTAATTCAACCAGCGTCTTTGATGTTTATTTCTAACAATCAGCTTCTCTTAATTCCTCTTTAAATTTTTTCCAATGTTGTCAAATAGTCCAATATCCATAAGTTTAGGTTTATGTCATAATCACCAAACAATCCCAAGGTAATTTCTTCTCTCTTTCTTTTATCTTAATATTCTGTGTTTTCATTTTGCAGGGTTTCTATTTTATTGTAACAAAGTTTCTCTTGCTTTGTATCAAATTCCACTTTTGAAAGAACCAAGCATTTTTTAAAGAGTCACTGAAATCTTTCCTTTTTTTCCACTTTCTTTTTTCTCTGTTTAGGGCTTTTACATTTTAAAAGTGCAATAAATCCAATTATCAATTTCTGGTTGTTGTTTTTTGACACATTCAAGTTCAGCCTTTAATTATGCCTATTTAGTGCGAAAATCATGTATTTATCCAATTTAAACAGATATTTTCTACTGGCTTCCTCTTTGAATTTAATTCCTTTCTAAGTTCAAAGCCACTTTCAGCTGTCAATTTTTCCTTTCACTTTCTCTGGTCACCTCTTTTACTGTCTTAAAAATTTCTTAGTATCTTAATTCTGGGGTATCTTTATATCCAGATGTTGCGCCTGATTAGCCCGGTCTTCACACTGTCCACTTCTTTACCGCTTCAGCATGATCTTTGTCCCGATTAGCTCTTCTTCTTCAGGGTGGCCATATTTGGCCACTGCTGCAGCCCATCTTCAGAAAGAGTATGCCTAACCAGGAAGGGGAGATGTGGCTCCCCTCAACCCAACTGGCGGTCTCCCCCTTCTTCAGCACCCCTACAGGGTGGTTCTGGCCTCGTTTGGAGCCCTCCAACAGAGAGAGCACGGATTGAATCCGTACACAATCACGGTCTTTGGTCTGTCCACGAAGGAAGAGCCACCAGAAGTCTAAAAATAGAAGATTTCTATCCTGTTGACAGGAAAACTTCATGGAAATATTCCTGAAGGTTCTCAGGGTAAAACTTGCCTCAGACATTTGAAAACTGTCCATCTGCCTTACAGAGGGACATTGTAAAAATAAAATGTTAAAAACAAAAAATTGAATATAAAAATTGGGCAATAGTGGTTAAAAATGTGACATTAAAATTAGTTAATAGGTGGGGTTGGGAAGCTTTCACGGCACTACCCAGCTCCATGGCTATATATTTTTCCGTAGGGCCCAATCAATGACAGAGAATTTGAGAAATATTGTTTGTAAATGTAGATTATTAGATTTTTATTCCATATAGAGGTGATGAACATATCTAACACTCCTTCCTATTTTCCCAACAATAACAATCCTGTAAGGAGGGTTGGGCTGAGAGTGAGAGAGATTGGCCGAAAGTCATCAGCTTTCATTCCTAAAGCTTGACTAGAATTCAGTCTTCTGGTGATGGCTTTGGCCTAATGTCACCCAGCTGGCTTTCATACCTAATGTGGGATTAGAACTCACAATCTCCTGGTTTCTAGGCTAGCATTTCTACACCAAACTGGTTGCCTGTGATATATGTGAATAGGGCAACAAACACCTGTCTAAGTGCAAAGTTAGTATTTAGTTCGGCTCTCATAATTAAGGGGCTGACCATATTTGATTCTTATGGTCCTTTTATACCAGTATTTGACAACTCATGAATGAGCAGAATTTCTGGTTTCCTCTTAATGATGGCTTCAGCTAAAAACTGTCCAGCTTAATCATGTATATATATATATATATATTTTTGGGGGGGGGGGGGAGAACAGAGCAGTCTATCTTATTTTTCTCTTAAGTTAGATTTAAGTTTACTAATTTAAGTTAACCAGGTTAACCAAGCATGTAGTGGAAAGATAGACTGTAAATTGTCAAAGTAAATAGCTTTCATGGCTTTATATGATGAAATTAAATAACCAAATACTATTTGCTATATGTGAAATTTTGCTGATGGTCTGATATACAAATCCATCTGTATTGATGTGACTCTATCAGCTGTATTTCTCTTGCAATCAGGACATTTATTTGTCTCCTTTTACAGTCCCAGTGCGGAAAGATGCCAAATTTTTCTTTTTCAACGGCCCATAATTTCCTCCGTTTCACTCCTGAATCTTTGGATTCGGTTAGAAAGAGAATTGCTGAGAAGGAAGCCAGTCGCTCCAAAACCTCAGAAAAGGCCAATAATGAAACGCAAGAAGAAAATATTCAACCACAGCTTGATCTGAAAGTTTTTAAAAAGCTGCCTGTTCTTTATGGGAAGCCCCCTCCTTGGCTCATCGGAGAACCGTTGGAAGACGTTGATCCCTATTACAGGGATCATGAGGTCATATATTTGGGTTTTTTAAAAATATATATCTTATTTTTGGTATAAAATGCTTTTATTAAAGTAAGCTACAGTAGAATGTTGAGGAACTCAAAAATATTTTTTTTAAAGAGCTGAAACATAAAATGGGTCAGTGTTCATGAATGGAAGAATCATAAATAGTTGAATTGTGAAGTATGTGTCTGAGTTTCAAGTAGAAAGTATGTACTTTATTGACTCTGGAATTAATTTATTGCTGTCAGAGAGATACACTTGATCTAATCTGTAGATTGTAACCTGTGATATTATCTGGATTTCATAGATAATAAGGAAACCAGGATGCGTGAAGTAAGAACCATTCTGTTTTATTTTACTTCAGTGAAAAAAATTGAGGGGATTTTTTAAAATTAATCCAGGACCTATGGCAACTCAGAGCCTAAGACATTGTTAGATCATGTCCTTTGGAGCCTCTTATGGGTCAGTTGAGGATAAGAATGTGAGCACAAATTAATACAGTCTTCTCTGAATTTCAAAATTGTCAGACAGAAGTGGGAAAGATTGTGGATTTCCCTCAAACTGAGATACTAGAAGGTAAACATTCTGGGTTGTGAAAATACACTTCTTATAAAAAAAGTTGAAGAAGCACTGGAGGGGAAATGGTGATTTAGACTTTAAATGAACCAGGACAGGCAATTAAATGATAAAGGCCTAAACCTGGAAACCTACAAAGATTAATTGGGATCTACTAAAGCTTATTACTGCTCAAAAGTGTATTATTGCTTATACAGCCTTACCTCCGCTTCTCCACCATATTCCCAGTAATTTTTGTTTCCAAGCTATGCTAAAATATAGTCTGTCTCCAGCCTTCTTTCAATTGTATCATAATATCACATCATAATGATGCTTCCAACGACACATATCGTGCCCTTTCCCATTTCAAGAAACAAAATTACACGTTTTAAAATCAAGAACTGGATTTCCTGACTGAGGTTGGTCTGCAGAAAAACAGCCACTTGGAAAGTGCATAGATATTGTAGTCAGAAAAGTGGTATACAAGTAGTCCTTGACTTACAATTATAACTGAGTCCAAAATTTCCATCGCTAAGCAAGACAGTTAAGTGAGTTTTGCCCCCATTTTATGACCTTTCTTGCCACAATCGTTAAATGAATCACTGTACTTGTTAAGTGAGTAATACGGTCATTGAGTATTAGAGCCTTGGTGGTGCAGTGGTTAGAGTGCAGCACTGCAGGTCACTTCTGCCGACTGCTGGCTGCCTGCAATTTGGCAGATCGAATCCCATCAGGCTCCAGGTTGTCTCAGCCTTCCATCCTTCCAAGGAGGTAAAATGAGGACCCAGATTGTTGGGGGCAAGAGGCTGTCTCTGTAAATTGCTTAGAGAGGGCTAGAAAGCACTGTGAAGTGGCATATAAGTCTAAGTGCTATTGCAATTGAGTGAATCTGGCTTCCTCACTGAGTTTGCTTGTCAGAAGGTTGCAAAGGGACACTGCAATCATCATAAATTCATGCAAATGTCTGGATTTTGATTACATGACCATGGGGTTGCTGTGATGATCTTATGTGTGAAAAATGGTCATAGGTTCCTTTGCTCAGTGCCATTTTAACTGAAATGGCCACTAAACTAATGGTTGTAAGTCAAGGACTACCTGTAAAAGAAAAGAGTTAAAAATTGATCTCAATTGTAAAGTCCACAACTGGTTCCTGTTATGAGGAGCCACGAAACATCAAAATTGGCTAGTTTTCCCACCTAACGTAAGCATCAGCGAAAAATCTGTCTCAGGGTTTTCTGGTGGTTTTTTTAATGTGTCTCATTATTGCAGTAATAGGATAGGACTTTCTGATTTTTTGTATAAGAGACACAATTCTGTAGTTGCAAAGATTGGTATGTAGTATTTCTCCATGTCAGAATGTACAAAACCGCATTGAATTTATATTGGTGGAAGCATTTCAGTCTTCCTAATCTGATGTCCTTGAGATCTATTTAGATTTGGCAATTCTGGGAGTTCTAGTCCAACACAAAGACTAAGTCAGGGCTGTCAAATTACTGGCGCGCAGTTGGATGTGTCATGTGCTGGCCACACCCATATCTGATTTTGCGAAAGGGAAAAAAGTCCTGATACATCCAGAGATGGTATTCAGCCGGTTCTGACCAGTTCTGGAGAACCAGTAGCAGAAATTTTGAGTAGTTTGGAGAACCAGCCAATACCACCTCTGACTGGCCCCGCCAACCCCATCTGTTCTCTGCCTCCTGAGTCCCAGCTGATCGGCTGGGTCTTCTTTGGTTGCCCTTCACAGGAGAACAGAGATGGAAAGCAGGTTAGTGGGGTGGGGAGAGAATAGGGATTTTGCAGTAACCTTTCCTTGCCACGCCCACCAAGCCACACCCATCAAGCCATGCCATGCCCACCAAGTCATGCCCACAGAACCGCTAGTACAAATTTTTGAATCCCACCACTGGATATGTCATGTGATGCCGCCATGACAATGTGAGTTTGACACCCCTGCTCTAAGCTGAGAGTTTGGTAGTTACATCATTTAAATAAATAATATTTAAAATTCTCTTCTAAACAGCCTGACTTACAAAGAATTTACCTATCTTTTACAGACGTTTATGGTGCTGTCATCCCGAAGTAGAATCTTTCGATTTACGGCCTCCAAATCTTTATTTTTATTTAGTCCATTCCACCCACTAAGAAGACTAGCTATAAAAATTTTAATACATATATATCCTTTTAATGCGAAAATGGTGGTTCATTCCATGGTTGTTAGTAAATATGAAGGTTAGCTCTTTTTACTTGCACACCAATTTTGGCTGGATTCATATAGCCTCAAAACCTGAGATAGTTTATAATTCAGTGTATCATGGAAATTTAGTCACTGTCCCATCTTTTTAGGTGAATAGGACATTCATGATATGCCAAAATATTGTTTATTGGTTTGAATCTAGCATGATATATGAAGGCAATTGTACTTTTAGGTGCTACAGTGGCTTTCTTCCTTTTTTAATATACTGTTTTCTTAGACTAGAGAGAATGGGTCTCATACAGGAAGTTTTTTATTTCCTTGCCTTCCTACCAAATATTGTACAGGTAGTTCTCAACTTACAACTACAACTGAGCCCAAAATTGTTGTGAGATAGTTGTTAAGTGAGTTTTGTCTCATATTACAACCTTTCTTGCCATAGTCATTAAGTGCCCTCTCCCCTCTTTGGAAGAGCTTTATAGCTCCCACTGCCTTAAGGAAGTTCAAAACATCTTCAAAGATCCATTTCATCCTGGGAACCCTTTTTTGAACTATTACCATCTGGCAGATGGTACAGAATAATAAAAACTAAGACAAATAGGCTCGAAAACAGCTTCTATCCCAGGGCAATAACTATATTGAATTCTACTGTATAGTGCAATATTAATGCAGAATCAAGGGTTTTCAATTCAATTGAATAGAATATGATGTGTGCTTGTGTTTTATTTTTAAAGTTATAATGTTCACTGAAGATGGCGTTTAATTTTGTTGTTCGAGGTGCAATGACAATTAAAATAAACTAAACTAAATTAATCAATAATTGAACATACAAATGCATTTTTCCTTCTTCAAAAGAAGATAATTTCCTTAATGTTGTTCACTATGTTTATTGCATTTATAACGTGTGTTGTTCTCGTCAACTGCGCTTTTATGGCTTTAAACACTCCTCCAACTGATGGCAACACTACTGAGTAAGTATATTCTAACGGTTCATATTTTCCCCATAAGCAGTAATTAATGAATCTAATGGACTTGATACAGCAGCACAGCATAAGCAGCAGTGATAAATCGAAAACAGTTCAGAGAACCAGTCCAAATTCTGACAGCTGAGAATACAAGATAGCATAGCAGGTACTAGCCTTAATATGGTTCCAGCAAGCTGACTGAACTTTTGCCAGAATCTTTTCTAATCAGAGCTTCTGCAGCCCCTATTATGTTCTGTCCAATTCTCTATTAAATATCTTCAATAAGTTATTTTAATTTTTTACTTGGTGGAAAAAAAAAACACCCTCTGATTTTGACCTGGCTCAAAATGCAGCTTCCTCCTGGCTCAAATAACCTGGGCTGAGCCGAAACTTTATTTAATGATGGTTCCTGGTCTCTTCTTTCCTCACTAGAGAGTATTCAGAATGATTTGTAATTCCATGCTTGCTGATTCTAAAGTGTGTCATAAAAGTCAAGTTGCTATCGGACTTGGAAAAACAAAGCCCCATACTCCACATACATGCACTGTGCATGTACACATGTTAAAAAGAACTTGAGATTCAGTTCTTTTAAGGAATTTTTGCCCTCTTTGAGCATTAGGCCAAATATTTTGCAACATCTAATAATTTAAGCCATAAACCATGGCAAATTTCTTAGCCTGATGTGCTTTTGCCCAAATAGGTTCCTGGGATACAAAGTTGAGTCATCAAGTATGTTTGAGTCATCAAGTATGTGATTAGTATACTCAGTAATTATATATGTAACATGTAACAGCTCATAGCATCCCCTAATATTCTTAGCACGATCTCGTTAATAACCAATTGCATATTCAGTGGTGTGTTTTCCACAGTGAGCTTTCAGGTTATTAAAGTTCATACTTTTGTACAGACCTCTGGCTGGTCTGAACCAGCACTTGAGAGAAACCACATTTTTTGCTTTGTAACTTCAGAGAACAAGAAACATTAATCAAAGATGCTCCTTGTTACTGAAAATTGTTACTCAAACCTCTTCTGCTCCCATCAGTAATATCGAGATATTCAGAGCTGTAACCTGAATATCCTCTCTTTTCTGTTCCTAATGGCTTTTCTTTCTTTGCTGCTTTCCTTTTCAGAATTATTTTCACCAGCATTTACACAGCGGAGTTTGTAGTCAAAGTGATAGCACGAGGATTTGTTTGTAATGAATTCACTTACCTGCGAGATCCTTGGAATGTCTTGGATTTCTTTGTTTTAATAATGACGTAAGTTTGGGTGTTTCTTTGCTGGTTGAAACCCATGTAGAGATAGAGAGATAAGCTCAAACTTATTTGGAGTGGGAATTTCTGATCTAAGGGACACTTAAGCATGTAGCAATCAGCCAACCTTTTTAGAAATAAGAAGCTTATTTAGTTTATTTATTCAATTTATATGGTTGTACATAGACAAGAGACACATGTTAATGGTATGAAACAAGAAATTAGTCATAATAAGATGAAACAATCTATTTTGTTTCTGACTTCTTCAACACCCCTGTAAACAATTTCCCTACAATTCTTTACCATTGAATTAGAAGGAAATACAGATAGTCCTCACCATATGGCTACAATTGAGCTCAAAATTTCTCTTGCTAAGTGAGACAGTTATTAAGTGAGTTTTGCCGCATTTTACAACCTTCCTCACCACAGTTGTTAAGTGAATCATTGCAATTGTTGAGTTAGTAACAAGATTGTTAAGTGAATCTGGATTGATTTTGCCTGTCAGAGGGTTGGAAAAGATGGATTACATAATCCCAGGACTCTGCAACCATCATAAATAAGCATCTGAATTTTGATCAAGTGACTCTATGGGGATGCTACAATGGTCATAAGTCACTTTTTCAATATCGTTGAAAGGGCACTAAATGAAGGGTTGTAACTCCAGGGCCACCTATAGAGAGAAACAAAAGTGACTCAGAGAGCCATTGAGATTTATTAATTAACGGAGACTTATTGTTGGGGAAATGGGAATGAAGAGCCAGTTTGGTCTAGTGATTAAGGTGTTGGTGTAGAAACTCAATGTCCTGCCTTAAAGGTAAAGGTTCCCCTCGCACATATGTGCTGGTCGTTTCCAGCTCTAGGGGGCGCTGCTCACCTCCGTTGCAAAGCTGAAGAGCCAGAGCTGTCTGAAGACGTCTCTGTAGTCATGTGGTCAGGCATGACTAAACGCTGAAGGTGCACAGAACACTGTTACCTTCCCACCAAAGGGGTCCCTATTTTTCTACTTGCATTTTTACGTGCTTTCGAACTGCTAGGTTGGCAGAAGCTGGGACAAGGAACGGGAGCTCTGTTACGTGGTGCTAGGGATTCGAACCACCAAACTGCCAACTTTTCTGATCGACAAGCTCAACGTTTTAGCCACTGAGCCATTGCATCCTGCCTTAGGAGGCATGAAAGCCTTAGGTTGGGTGACTTTGGCCTAATCCTTCTCTCTCAGCCCAACCCACCTCACAAGACTGTTGTAGGGAAAATAGGAGGAAAGAGTATCAGGTCTGTTTGCTGCCTTGAATTATTTACAAAATAATAAAAGTGGGACCAAAAATCTGAATAATAATACAAGTGGGCTACTTCCTACTCATAACTAGATTTAATTAACCTTTGTAGGAGAACCTGAGAAAAAATGATGCTTCAGGGTGGTTTATAAAAGTCCAAATTAATATTTTGTTTCTGAGGTGTTTTATAAATGCCTTGCTTCTGGCAAATGCTCAGCAAAACATTGGGCAGGGCTGAGTAGAAGCCTTGTATGTGTAATAGATTTCATAGCTTTTTGCTGTCTCTTGGGAAGCTGGGATGATATTCTCAAAAACACTGAGAAACAAAATGAAGTATGTTTTGCAGCATTTTCCCTCTAGCTCTGGGACAGACATTTCCTTCTTGTTCTGACTCACAACTACTGGAATTTCTTTTTCCCTTAATAATTCACATGACTTTGCCGCTACTCTAAACTAAGCTAAACAATAAAGTAAACTAAACTCTTCCTTGTAGCAGCCTCATTTAATGTCTGGTAGGACTTTATGTCCTCTTTTCCATTGCTGCATAAGCAAATCAGGGAAGAAAGAACGGGGACATGGCACCAATTGGTGGCCTTCGTTGTGTCTTCCCATTGGCCTGCAGGAGGGAGTGTTGGCCAGGACTGTGAACCATCAAAACATAGAGGTGGAAATACATGTTTAGAGACGCTAAAGAAGTTTGAAGTATGAAGTATATGGCTGTAGTGCCCTAAATCCATGAAAAAAATAATAATCTGAGGTCAGCTTTATGCTCTTCAGGGCTTCCATCATCATCCAGCAATATCTTAGCATTAATAAAGGGATCAAATCAAGAAATTCTAGTTCTGCTTTACAAAGCCTTAGTTAGTTCAAACTTGGATTATTGCATCCAGTTCTGGTCACTACAATATACAACAAGACTTTGAGTCTTTGAAAAGAGTGCAGAGAAGAGGAACAGAGATGACTAGGGAACTGGAGGCTAAAACATATGAAGAATGGTTGCAGGAGTTAGGTATGTCTAGTCTGATGAAAAGAAAGACGAGGGGTGACATGATAGCACCCTTCCAATATCTCAGGGGTTGCCACAGAGAAGGTGTGTGTGTGTGTGTGTGTGTCACCCTATTCTCCAAAGCATCTGAAGGCAGGATAAGAAACAATGGATGGGAACTAACCAAGGAGAGAAGCAACCTAGAACTAAGGAGAAAATTGCTAACCGAACAATCAACCAATGGAATAGTTTTCCCCCAGAAGTTGTATGTACTCCATCACTGGAGGCTTTCCAAAAGAGACTGGACAGTGGCATAGGGTCTTCTGCGTGAACAAGGAGTCAGACTAGAAAACCTCCAATTGTATTATTCTATGTTCTATATTCTATGTCCCAATAAATAATACGGATAAAATGGTGCTCTCCCTTTATATAGCACTTGCAGAAGAAGCTCAGATTTATTTGATTTATATTTCTGCCTATTCGCCCGTGGTGACTCAAGGCGGCTTACACAATGTAAAATCATATTTAAAACAAAAAAATAAAAATAAGAACAATAAGAACTAACAAAAAGAATCAAATAAATTAGTAAAGTACAACAGAACAAAATTTGGGAAAAACAAAAACCAACTTTCCCCCCCCTCCACCCCAACGACAGTGGGTCACACTTAGCCAATTTTGTTTTGACAAGATTGTTGTCCCTAAGAATGTAAGAAGTGTACTGAATCTGGCCATGGCCCATCTTAGTCAATATTGTGCATTCTGAGGGTGGCAGGTTCTAAATCAAATAAATATTTATCACAATGGCCAACCAGAAGCCTCTGAAGTGTTGATAAGCAGGACCTGGAGGGCCGCCATTCTCCTTCCATTGCTCTCCTGCAACTGGGTGTTTGGGTACATGCTGTCCCACACTGGATGATACAGGTAGTCCTAGACTTATGACCACAACTGAGTCCAAAATTTCTGTTGTTAAGTGAGACAGTTGTTAAGTGAATTTTGCCTATTTTTACAACTTTTCTTGCCCCAGTGGTTCAGTGAATCTCTGCAGTTGTTAAGTTAGTGGCACAGTTGTTCAGTGAATCTGGCTTCCCCATTGACTTTGTTTGTCAGAAGGTTGCAAAAAGTGATCACATGATCCCCGGGTACTACAACAATCATATATATGAACTAGTTTCCAAGCGCATGAATTTTAATCGCATGACCACAGGGATGCTGCAATGGTCATAGGTGTGAAAAATGGTCATAAGTCACTTTTTTTCATTTTTTTGCCATTGAAACTTTGAAAGGTCACTAAATGAACTGTTGTTAGTTGAGGACTGCCTGTACTTGAGTCTTCAAGGCTGAAAGACCTTGATAGACCCTATTCTCTTTTAAAGCCAACCAAATAAATGACCATTACCCCATCCTGTGTACTGAATTTCACAGGTTAATTATCCACCATCATTGTTTATACCGTAATAACTTCTTTACATTAATTGTTTACAAAGTCTTCAATCACTTTCTTTCCTGGAGCAGCCAGAAGTTGACCCTGGAGCATTCTGCTTACATTTACTTGTTTATTATTTATATCCCACCTTTATTAAACAAGGTAGTGAATATATCCAATATACTTTCCTTTTTCTCCCCCCGCAACAACAGCCCTGTGAGGTAGATTGGGCTGAGAGCAGGGGTGGGATTCTACCAGTTTGCACCTATTCACTAGAACCGGTTGTTAGCATTCTAAGCAGTACGGAGAACCAGTTGTTAGAAGAAATTACTGGGCTAATCCTGTAAGGAAGGCAGGAAGGAAACATTCTGGGGTTGCTTACAGAAACTGCCTCTCCGTTAACCCTTATTACATTCTTGGCAGGATAGACTTCCTGTCTCAGGAACTTCTCTGGAGTTTTTTTCCCCCTCCTTTTCTGGTACTTTGCTTGTGTGGAGTGACCATTCAAAGTTACAGTGGCACTGAAAAAAGTGACTTATGACCATTTTTCACACTTACGACTGAGAGGCCAGGCGGGGAGATGTGTGCCTCGATGTGAGTGATGTTGAGTTGGCCACACCCAGCCAATAACTTGACCACCAAGCCATGTCCACCCAGTCACATGACCACCAAGCTACACCTACCACCTAAGCCATGCCCACAGAACCAGTTGTTAAAAAATTTGAATCCCACCCCTGGCTGAGAGAGAAGGACCGGCCCCAAGTCACCCAGTTAGCTATTATGCCTAAGGCGGGATTAAAACTCACAGTTCTCTGCAGATTGACCCAAAATCACCCAACTGGCTTTCATGCTTAAGGCGGGACTAAATCTCTCACTTTCCTAGTGATTGGTCCAAATCACCCAGCCAGTTTCCATGCCTAAAGCGGGACTAGAATTACCAGTTTCCCAGTTTCTACCCTGGTATTTTAACCCTTAGACCAAATTGGCTCTCTAAGCTATATAATAATAGCAAAGACCTATAATTTGCCCTCTCATTTGGCAGTAGCATTTGCAGGCTTTTCTGCCCTGAGTATTTTCATACATTCACCCAGTCCAACTTTGTCTGCCTGGACTGACAGCAGCTGCCCAAGTTATTCTGCTACTAAAACAATTGCATTGAGGATATTTGGAAATTAGTCTGTTATCTTTGTGGTCCAAACCCACACAGTTCAGTAGCCGATGCTGACAGGAATGCACGTATCACTGGAAAACATCTGCCTTGGTTCTTGGGAAGGACTTAATAGGTGGATAAAACATGCCAAATCCAGTCTAATCATCTGGCAAACTTTGCAACCAGCCATCATAATTTATTAAATTTCTATTCTATTCAACTCACAGCTCTGCAAAGTATTATATTATAATATGATGGTATCTTTATGCAGATATGTAGCTTTCAATCAAAAATTTGGCAGCATTTCAGCTCTCCGAATTTTCAGGATTCTGAGAACTTTAAAGGCAGTTTCTGTAATTCCAGGTAAGTACGCAGCAGTTTTTATTGCTAATATACAAAATTTACAAACTGCCTACCTGTTAAAGATTTAAAGACTACGTTATAGGAACATATATCAAAATAATCATAAAACAGTCTTACTGAAAAATGAACTGGTCCACTTTAACACAGAGCTAACCTGCTGTATTTCTGCCTGATAAAATTTATGTTGTTCTGGGAAACCTGGAATTTAATCCCCAATTTCAAACCTTGGTAATGATAATGAAGAAGCACTTATTATGCCGTGAAAAAAAAGAATGAATATGTATTCAGAATTTGTCCAGAATGTGTCATGCTTAAATGAACTTAAAGAGGCACCAGAAGTTAAAGAGAGCTAACTCAAATTTGAATCTTAACAAGAAAACTAATATACAGGTAGTCCTCAACTTATAACCACAATTGGGACTGAAATTCTGATAATACAGTACATTGTTATCGTTATAAGTTGATACACCACATAAACGGACCTGATTTTTCACCTGGCTATGAAGCAAATCTCATGGTTGTAAATCTAAACGCACTTTCAAAAGTAGATTATTTATTTATTGTACATACAAATACACACAGACAGGTTGTCATGCAGCTTCATGAATAAGGATTTTAATCTTTTTATTAATCTTCTGTAGTTTTTATCTCATAGTATCATGCTCTAGAAAATAGAGTAGAGTAGAAATAGAATAGGTAGGGTAGGGTAGACTAGAATAGAGTAGAGTAGAACAGAACAGAATACATTTATTGGCCAAGTGTGATAGAAACACAAGAAATAAGTTCTCAGTATGCAAAACAACAAAGTATAATAATCATGATATCAAAACAATAATAATCATAATGACACCAATAAGAGAAGGTAGTGGAACAGATGAGAAAGATAATAGTAATGCAGCCATACTACATGGGTAAATATACTTAGACATAAGACATAAGTACTGTGGGAATTAGGTGTTGAGCAGAGGGATGGTGCAAATGGACACAAAAAAACACTGTCTCTGTGTCTAGTTGTTTTGGCATCCAGTGCTCTATAGTAGCGTCCTGAGGGGAGAGGCCGAAACAGTTTATGCCCAGGTGTGACGGGTCTGTAGATATTTTCTCAGCCCTCTTTCTGACCCTTACAGTATTCAGGTCCTCAATGGAAGGCAGGTTGGTAGTTGTTTTTTCTGCAGTCCTAATTATCCTCTGAAATCTGTACTTGTCTTATTTGGTTGCTGTACAAAAAGTTATAGAAGTACAGATGACAGACTTAATAATTCCTCTGCAGAATTGTATCAACAACTCCTGGGACAGTCTGAACTTTCTGAGTTCAGGAATGTTCACAAAGAACATTCTTTGTTGTGTGTTTTTTTTAATGGTGGTTGTAATGTTAGGTGCCTGTTTCCAATCCTGGGAGATTATAGAACTCAGAAATATAATAACGTTGATGCTTCCTCTGCCATAGGCTTGAAGATCATTATATCTTCCCTTCTTCAGTCGGTAAAAAAACTTGCAAATGTGATGTTGCTGACGGTTTTCTTCTTGGCTGTGTTTGCATTGGTTGGTCTTCAGCTCTTCATGGGTAACTTAAGACATAAATGTGTTGCCTGTTCGCTTCTCAATGAAAACGTCAACAAAACTGATTGTTTATTAAAGGATGCAGGTAATGTATACGTTTCCTGTCTTTTGGTAAGCTTTATTGTGATACCTGTTTTAAATTATTCATTGTATTTATAACTGTATTGTTTAACACCATTTATTTGTGAACCATATGCTGAACACTTTAGTTAACAAAATGAGCTGTAAATTAAGAAATATAAAATCATAGAACTGTGGTGCTGTCAAGGCAGCCTTGGTTTTTTTTCTCTCACTCTACATATCTTTTTCCTAAGTCATATTTGTATGGGAGATGGAGAACCCATAACAGACCTTATTCCAATCTTGCATAGATCTTATCATTTGGGAGTTTTTCCTTACATCTTTACGCCCATTATTTCTGGTTTTTGGTATTTTGTTACTTTGTTCTTCTCCATATCATGGTCCATAAAATTTTTATGAAGTTGTTGTCAGGGCTCCAACATGCACCCCCATTCAAATCATAAGTCTCTGGCCACATCTCTCAGAGTGAAAAAGATTGACTCATTAGGAGTTGACATGTCTGCGTTTCCCGGTTGCAGCCGACTCTGACACATCATTCATTTCACCCTTGACCCTGGTCTCCTCCCATCCCCTGGACATATATTCACCAATGAGACACTTCCATAGCCAAGAATCATCAATCATGTTCTCCAGTAATAATTTTGCTCGCCAGAATCTTCGGTTGCCAAAGCAATTATCTGAAGCCTTTAAGGAATGCACTGCTTTCCTCCCTCCCTTTTCTGCTGACCACTAAAAAGAAGTATTTTTAGTTGACACTTGTGCTTTGCTTAATATGAAATACTTACAACCAGAACTGAGCCCAAAATTTATGTTGTTCAGTGAGAAATTTGTTAAGTGAGTTTTGCCCCATTTTACGAACTTTTCTTGCCACATTTGCATTTGTTCAATTACTAACATGGTGGTTAAGAGAGTCTGGTTTCCCCATTAACTTTGCTTGTCAGAAGGCCGCAAAAAGGGATCATATGACCCCACAGGGACACTGCAACGGTCATAAAATGTGAGTCAAGCTTTGGAATGCAAATCACGTCACCATGAGGATGCTGCAACAGTTGTAAGTGTGAAAAATGGTCATGTCACATTTTTCAGTGCCGTTGTAACTTTGAACAGTCATTAAGCGACTGGTTGTAAATCTAGACTACCTGTACAAGTTTTCTTTTTGGTTTATTTATTTCTGCTTGGGATTAGGGGTTTGTCTCAGCACATTATTTCCCAAAATTTTGCATTCTCTGGACCCTCTTTGGCATTAAACATAATGAAAATAAGAAGGTGGCGGCAATTCAGGACTTAATTTAGAAGTATTTGCCCTGCCTTTCCAGACACACCCTTGATTTTGTGAGAGCACTCTCAAGATTGTCATTTGGATTTTCCCCAATTCCAAGAACAGTGAAAACTCCCGAAAGAAGCCTTTGCGGGTAGTCCTTGACTTACGACCTGTTGCTTAGCAACTTTGAAGTTACGACCAATCTGAAAAAGGGAGCTTAGGACCTGGATTTGAAGTTTCAAGCCTCCTCCGTGGTCATATGATTAAATTTTATTTGCTTGACAATATGGATGCGTTCATGGCAGCATCCATGGTCACATGACCATGTTTTACACAATTTTGCTTAAAACCAGCACTTTCAGTTTGGGGCAAAACTGCATCTGTAGTGAACTACTCTTTTTTTTTTTAAACTATGGTGTTAGCTTAACTGTGGATTCACTTAAGCAACCATAGTGATTTGCTTAATGATTGCTATTAAAAAGTTTTAAAATAGAGTTGGTTATATGACCAACCTGTTTCAACACACAACTGTTTTGGGTAGGCTCCATTACAGTTATATGTTGTGGAGTACCTGTATCTCTGTATATGTAAAACAACAGAAATTGTTGTTTCAGAGCTGGTAAATCAGTTTTATTGACTTCATATATGAAGTGCCAGAGAAGGCTTAATGAAATGTGTTCATAATGTATCTTATGTTGCCTTAATACACTGCTCCAAATTATTGCATTTTTCTTATGAAAAATTTCTGGAATTGAGATGGGGGACAGGTAAGGTAAAGCTATCCAACAAATAAAACACAGATAAGGGGAAGTTATAGCTCTTCTTACCTGCATGTTCCTATTTCCTGTAAAAGTTAGGCTGCCATTTTTGTTGTGAATCTACAGTAAATATTTTTCCTTTCTTTTGAGATGAGCAGTCTGTTGAAATACATCAGATATATTCTGTTTTTTCAGAAATGCCTCCAGCTATATTATTTGGAGGTCTTCCTGTTATCTTGCCTTTTTTTTCTGGCTCCTGTTGTCCTTTTATCTCTCTTGCTCTACTTACCTACCCAAGCCAGGTTCTGAAATAAGGATTTTATTTTTAAAAGTTAAGCCAGCGCTTATTTGCAGGCTAATAAATTATTCTTTATACAGAAGTTATCCAATGGATGGTTCTAACTATGCATATCAGGATAGGATGATATTTTGAAATATTTCCTTTTTTTCTCCCCAGAAAATTATGGTGACTATTTCAGTAACCTTTCTAAGCCATTGCTATGTGGATTCAGCCTAAATCCTAAGTATATACTTTTTTTTCTTAAAACATTTTAACTGTAAAATAGAATTGTTTTCAGAATAATTGAGGCAACAGTAATGGAGGTAGGCAAGATTCTACATAATCTTCCTTTCTTCCTTCTTTCCTTCCTTTTTTAAAAAGAGGAATACTCTTAAAATGCTGGGCCTTTTTAACTTTGAGGTAAGGATGATGCGCTCATTGAGAGCCAGTGTGGCCTGGAGGCCAAAGGAGCGCTTCAAGTACCTGAGAGGCTATTGGATGTCATGGCCCCATAAATATGCTTGCAATTGGGTTCTTAGAGGACAACCATTTATCTATTTTTTGAGGCAGAAAATTGAACTGAACTAGTCCTTGCGTTCTATTGGAGCAGGAAATAGAAGAGATTGGACTGCCATTCATCAGAAACGATGTAGGGTCTCCTGCTTGGGCAGGGGGTTGGACTAGATGAACTATAAGGTCCCTTCCAACTCTGATTAACTGTTATCTATTAAATCTAGGTGATTGTCTGGTGATAATTGAGGGAGAAATTGTGAATGTGGGGTACCTTGGTAGTCAACTGCTTTGAAACTCATCAAATTTGATACTCAATGCATTTTGACATGAAAATTTTGTCCCAGTGCTCATGTTTGTTTGGTACTCAACATACAAGCTTGAACTTGTTGATGTCAGCTATCTTGTGACTCACTATATTATTGTTTAGAGGAAAAAAAATGTTGATACTAATAATTTTTGATACTCTTCGCACCACCGGAACTAATTAACGATGAGTATTAAGTTACTACTGTATAAGCAGAAGGCAAAGGCAATTTATTTATTTATTATTTTTACAAATAACTTAAGGCAGAAAATGAGGTGGGTTGGGCTGAAAGAATGACTGTCCCAAAGTCACCCAGCTGACTTTCATGACTAAAGCAAGACTGGGACTCACTATCTCCCTCTTTCTAACCTGGTGCCTTAATCACTAAACCAAATCGATTCTCTGTTGTTTAAGTTTTGGGGAGTAAATTTGAAGGAGCCCCATGCAATATTCCTGCAAAAAGTTATGGCATGCTGATGACATCTTATAAAAGACTTACTCTACCAGGGGTTTAATGCTATAAAACTATGATATACAGTTTTGTAAGTTTCAAGAGAGCTCATATAAGAAAAAAGCAGAATTTATATCAAAGCATTTGCCGCACTGGAATTTCCCTTTTTGGAATAAAAGGACATTGAGTAGGTTAAAAAAAAAGAACATTCAAAATTATTATAGGTTGTCCTCAATTTACAACCAATTGCTTAGTGACATTTGAATTTATGACAGATTTCCCCAGGGCTACTTACAACTGGATTTGAAGTTCCATTGCTACTCCCCTCACCTCCTTCCTTGGTCGCAGAATCGCATTTTGGGCAGTTGACAACTGGCCCATGTTTACAGTCGATTGCATAGCCCCACAGTTATGTGACCATAATTTACAATGTTTTTCCCCTCAAAATTGGCATTTACTTACAGTTTCTGACAACCCCCACACCCATTATGGATGATGGATTTGTTTAATAATCACAGCAATTCATTTAACAACCACCTCAAAATCACATGGTGATCTGCTTAACAGCCTGCATGTTTTCTGACTGTAATTCCAGGCTCCATTATAGATCAAGGATGATGGCCACATTTGGCTTTTAAGTTCTGCCTCAGCTTATCTTTTTCATTAAGCAACTGAATTGGAAGACCATTTAAAGCAGGGGTGTCAAACTTTGATTTCTTGGAGGGCTGGATCAGCATTGTTGTTGTCCTCCGTGGGCCGGCCGGGGGGGCGGGCAAGGAGACAGGATGGATATCATCCTGCAACACCCTTCTGGGCGAAACGGTCCTGCTTGTTTTGGCTGGCTGGAAACAGGCCACGTGGGGGGCTCCTGTGGCCTGTTTTGGCTGGCAGGATGCTGCAGGAGGCCGTCCAGACCAAAAATGGGTCGCGTGGGGGCCGCCCATGATTTCCCCATAGCTCATTTTTGCTAGCAGAGGCACCGCGGGCTGGTCCTTTGTTATTTCCAGGCCAGCCTCACGGACCGGATCTAAGCACTAAACCTTAACCCTTGAATTTGACACCTCTGATTTAAAACAATTTATTGCAGTCCTCTGATAAAGTGGAGTCTCCCTATGAAAAAGAGGAAAAATAGTTTACATTGATTGTTATAGTAAGCCCAACATAGAACTTCAAAGCAAAAACTGATTGGCTTAGAAATAGTCTTCTGACAACACTAAGGATTAAAGCATCCAATAATATGTGAGCATAGCAATAGAAAAAAAAGCATTGTATTTGGAATAAATGCAAAAGAAACATTTGCAAAGGAAAAACATCAGAACGGGTATGAGTAAGTTACATTCTCAATGCTTCCCAAGGTTGGGCTTGAGTATTTTCTTTATTCATGGATGCTGGAGCATAGCTCAAAATGAAACTGTTATCTACAATATATTGAATGCTTTCCTGCCAGTGCTGGTTTCTAACAGGAAGGCTTTTCTTGAAGATTAAGGCTCATGGGAATTTATTTATTTATTTATTTGTCAAGCATGCATTTGATAATATATATAAGTATAAACATGATTATTAATACATGAAATAAATAGGAATAAAAGGGAACATTAAGACAAGGATGGTAGGCACATTGGTGCTCTTATGCATGCCCCTTACAGACCTCTTAGGAATGGGGTGAGCAATACATTTGAAAAAGCAAATTTAAAATACAAGAAAATCCATGTCAGTCAGTATTACAAAAAGCATGTTTCAAGTATTACAAAGTCCATCCTGTATGGCCCTCAAGGACTACCTGTACTGTGATACATATAGTTATAGCAAAAATCCTTTTTTTAAAAAAACAAAACGAAAATGAAGACTAATGCTAGTGTCATGTTTGGTCTATTATTAGTAAAACAGAATGTCCCTTGAACAGCGTTTGTGTGAAGTATGAAGAGAATCCCGATTTTGGATATACCAGTTTTGATCACTTGGGGTGGGCGTTTCTGTCATTATTTCGATTGATGACGCAGGACAGCTGGGAACGTCTCTATAGACAGGTAAACTTGTCAAATAACTAAAGATAAGAAATGTGCAAAACAGAGTGAAGGACACATTATTTGCTGGGATAATGCAGTTGTTTCATATCCTATTTGAATGCTGTGGTTTGCATTAAATTATTGTCATTGGTCTCATACCAGCAGTATAAAAAACATTTTCAAATTTATCTATGCAATAGTGGTGAATATATGTAGCTTGGGTGTAGGATGAGGGAGAAGGTTTGTTCTCAGAGCTTGTGAGTTGGTTTCCAAATATTTTTGTTATCAGTAAAGGCCAAATGTGGCCTTTTCAGGCTTTTGTGCCTTGGCATGCATATTTTCCAATGAGGCAAACTGAGACAGGAAGATCATTTTATTATAACTTATCAGAATATTCAGACAGAAGGGGTTCCTCTCATTCAAAGAGGGAACCCAGATCTTTAGCTTATAACACCTTTTATAGAAAAATGCAAGGCGAAAGTTGTTTGGACCCCTTTGCATAGGAAATCAGTTACAAGTAGTCAAACATGTTACATATTTGCATCCCATAATATCACACCTGTTCATTAAAATGAGATCCGAGGTTACAAGGGGCATAAATTGTAAGGAAAAAGATTGGTTATATTTCACTAAAGAAATAAACTAGACCCCAATTTGTACTAACAATTTTTTTCTTATCTGGAGTTAATCTCCAGCTATTTATCTTTTCAATTTAGGAATGTTAAAAGCTATTCCTAAATTCCTGTCTGTAATAACCCTGAACATCCCCTTTCTAAGACAGAAAATGTCAAATCTAAATACAAAATAACTATATTAAAAATATAAAATTAACATACAAAGTATCTATGTTAGCTAACATTACAAAACCCATGTCATTTGCCCCTCACTAGGTAACAAGGGACGCGGTGGCTCAGTGGCTAAGACGCTGAACTTGTCGATCAGAAAGGGTCAACAGTTCAGCAGTTCGAATCCCTAGCACCGCATAATGGAGTGAGCTTCCATTACTTGTTCCAGCTGCTGCCAATCTAGCAGTTCGAAAGCATGTAAAGATGCAAGTAGAAAAATAGGGACCCCTTTGGGGGAAGGGAACAGAGTTCCGTGCACCTTCGGTGTTTAGTCATGCCGGCCACATGACCCCGGAGACGTCTTTGGACAGCACTGACTCTTCAGCTTTGAAACAGAGATGAGCACTGCGCCCGAGAGTCGGGAATGACTAGCACCTATGTGTGAAGGCAACCTTTAGGTAACATATTAGGTAAGATATTACCTAGCCTGGTAACAAAATGTTTGGAAACCCACAACAAACTTTCACTTTCAATTTTAGCTATCATATATTAATTACCACAATTCATTAGCTTGACCATAAGACACAATATGATCTTTACAATATCAAATTAACAAATTTACTTCTTTGAAATGTTCACAATATGTGCATGTTTGTACGAAATCTTGGTTTAATATATTTGTTTTGAGAAAGTTCTCTGATTTTGTGTTTACAGGTTATCAGAACATCTGGAAAATCCTACAGTATATTTTTTTTTATCATCATCTTTCTGTGTTCGTTCTATCTTTTCAATTTAATCCTGGCTGTTGTTTCAATGGCATATGAAGAGCAAAATAAAGCAACTTTAGCACAAACAAGGGCAAGGGAAATGTTACTTCAAGAAGCAAAAAAAGTGCTGGGGAAACAAAAGGTTTGTAAATAACATTTAGGACTGCAAATTTCTATACCGGTAGTCCTCGATTTACAACAGTTCATTCAGTAACCATTCAAAGTGACAAAGGCACTGAAAAATGTGACATGACATTTTTTCATAATTATGACCTTTGCAGCATCCCATGATCATATGATTGAAATTCAGATGCTTGGCAACTGACATGTACTTATGACAGTTGCAGTGTTCTGGAGCCATGCAATCCCTTTTTGAGACTTTGTGGCAAGCAAAGTCAATGGGAAAACAGATTCACTTCATAACTAGGTTACTAACTTATCAACTGCAATGATTCATTTAACAATTATGGCGAGAAAAGTTGTAAAATGGAGCAAAAGTCACTTAGCAAATGTCTTACTTAGCAACAGAAATTTTGGGCTCATTTGTGGTATAAGTTGAGGACTACCTGTACTACTAAAGAAATCTATTGCAGACATGAAAATAGGAAGGAAATGCATCATTAATATATGTTTTCATGTTCTTGATTCAAAGAATATTCTCTGTAGAGAATATTCTACAGTGGTTCTTTGTGTCATGTTTTTTGTTATGTTGTATTTTTAACTTTGTTATTTTGTGTTTTTAAGTCCGTAAGCGGCTCAAAGCCTTTACGGGTGATAGGCAGCTAAATAAATTTATTAAGAAATATGATTATTCTTGTAATATACGAATACAGAATTTGGGAAAAGGTAAAATGGTAAAGGTAAAGATTTTCCTCGCACATACGTGCTAGTCGTTCCCGGCTCTAGAGGGCGGTGCTCATCTCCGTCACAAAGCCGAAGAGCCAGTGCTGTCCAAAGACGTCTCCGTGGTCATGTGGCCAGCAGGACTAAATGCTGAAGGTGCCCGGAATGCTGTTCCCTTCCCACCAAAGTGGTCCCTATTTTTCTACTTGCATCTTTACATGCTTTCGAACTGCTAGGTTGGCATAATAACATACAAATAATTAAATAAAATCAACAACTCTTCCTTTAAAAACAAAAGCTCTTTAACACAATATATCAGGAAAAAAAATAATAGATTGGTTAAAATCTGTTCAATGGTAGATGTGGAAATTAGAATCAATTAATCTAGTAGGGACTATGGCAAAATGATTAAAAGTGTATACTTTATTAATCAATATTTTCTGTCTTAATATTTTACAGTGGAAGAAGTAATGTAAATAAATTAGTGTCATGCTGAGTGAGGCTGTGTGTGCGTGTATGTTTACAGATGTGTAGGTTGACTCATGACCTAAACTGAGCCCAAAATTTCTCTTGCTAGGTTAGACATATGTTATGTGAGTTTTGCTCCATTTCACAAACTTTCTTGCCACAGTTGTTAAGTGAATCATTGCAGTTGTTAAGTTAGTAACGTGGCTGTTAAATGAATCTGACTTCTCCATTGACTTTGCTTATCAGAAGGCCGCAAAAGAGGATCACATAACTCCCCCCCCCAAGACGCCGCAAACATCATAGATATGAGTGAGTTGTCAAGCATCTGAAATTTGATCACATGACTATGTGTATACTACAACAGTCAGACATGTGAAAAATGGTCATGTCGCTATTTTCAGTGCTGTTGTGGCTTCAAACGGTCACTAAATGAACTGTGCTAAATCAAGGACTATCTGTAATATTAGTGTCATGCTGAAGGAGACTCTGTGTGTGTGTGATACACACAAACTATGTATGCATATGTATGTATGAAAAGAAAGTAAACAAAATAATGGAACTATAATATAAACAATGAAAAAGAAAACTGCAAGAATGTATCAATACGATAACAAACGATGCAGAGCAGAGAGCAGTGCACGTGTGTTTGTGTTTGTCATCAATCTTCCATCCAGCAGCCACCTCTCTCTACGTATATGAATATGTATGTGTATCTCCATCTCTATCTATCTCTAATCTCTATCTTTATCTAACTCTCCACCCACCCACCCCCTCCATATTGTTCATGTGTGGTATCTTTTCCTAATCAAATTGACCCCGCTTGCCTTCCAAGATGACCCAGATATTGACATCTGCTGGGGCATTGGTGTGCATATTTATTTATCTCGTTGCATATCAGATTTTACAAGATCGGTATTTCTTTTACTTATCACTGCTACTCCTTCTCTTACAATGCATACTTGAAAAAAATTATGTTTCAGGAACTAGTTTCACAAAGTCTCCTGGCACTGTCAAATGAAAACTCGGAAGGGCCCAGTGAAGAATCTGAAAATAAAAAACGGAAAAGAACTTTTAAGAGAAAGAAGAAGTGCAAAAACACAAAATCCAAAACCTATGGAGAAGACGAAACAATGTTTTATTCACCACCTGATAAAAGTCAAAAGGAACTTGTAAGTTTAAGCATTTATAATCTTTATAAACAGAGTGCAAAATGTATCAAGCTCATTAAATTGAAGTATACAGTTTTTTAAGGGGCAACCAACAAAGTGCTATGTTTTCATTTCATAGATTTGTCAATCTGTTAGTCAAATTAAAACAAAAACTTTGAAAAATGTACACCTACAATTTTAAAAAATTGCACCTACAATTTTATTCCAACTACAATTTTATTTTCTATCTCAGGTTTTTATCTTTACAACTGCTTTTTCTAAATGCGTTTCATCATTCGTGTGCATTCCCCCCCCCCCCCCCCCAACAGTATCTCCAGGATAGATCAAAAGAGGCAGGATGCTGGTCACAGTATTGTATATGTAGGGGTGATGTTGAAATGTGCCCAGCCTGGCAGGATGGAGGGATCCAACTAGAGGTGGATATTCAGCAGGTTCTGACAGGTTCTGGAAAACCGGTAGCGGAAATTTTGAGTAGTTCGGAGAACCGGCAAATACCACCTCTGACTGGCCCCGCCTCCCTCTATTCTCCGCCTCCTGAGTCCCAGCTGATCGGCTGTGTCTTCTTTTTCTGCCCTGCACAGGAGAACAGAGCTGGAAAGCAGGTTAGTGGGGTGGGGAGGCAATAGGGATTTTGCAGTATCCTTCTCCTGCCACACCCACCAAGCCACACCACGCCCACCAAGCCACGCCCATAGAACCAGTAGTTAAAAAAAATTGAATACTGCCACTGGATCCAACACAGAGCTAGTCTAGACTCAGCGCACAAACTTAAGAAGGGCCAGGACCAGCCCACCCTGAATGGTTTGGAGCCTTATTTACTGTAATTTTTCCCCAAAGGAAAACTGACAGACTGGGGAGATTCCTGTATAACAGACAGAACATAATAAAGTAGAGTTAGCTTGAATTCTGCCCATATAGGCTTGGTTATTTCCGCCTGATAGATGGGGCTTCAATCACGATGCTCTGACTTCCATCCTGCCTGTTTTGACCCGCACAATGGATGCCACTGATTCCCCCCCTCCCACATTCATTTAATCAAAGCAAGCAAACAATGAGTTCAGAATATATGCTAAAATTACTAGATTTCTGCAGCTACATGCTCATTTTTATTATGAATAAAGAATGCCTGTAATCAGTAACGGATGGAAGGTCAAATGCTGAAATAAGTATGTGATTATTTTTTTAATGTGTTTAAAATGAAGTTTCATTAGTATTGACTACCAAAATACATTGGCTTTACTTCTGTGTCCTTTCCAATTAGTGCTTTCTATGCTTTGGCTGTAGGGGAATTTTATATCATTACTGAGGTTTTGCTGTACCTCAAGTGGTATATAATGACTGGTGACCTTCTACCACTGCACCATAGAGAGCATTTTAACTTACTGCACCTGTGTCTGGTTTGCCAATTGCACAGAGGCAGGTGGGACAGCACTCCAGAGGGTTAATGTCATTGCCCAGAGGATCCTGGGTTGCCCTCTCCCCTTTTTGGAAGAGCTTTAAAGCTCCTGCTGCCTTAAGAAAGTTCAAAACATTCTCAAAGATGTCTCATTCTGGGCAGCCTTTTTTTTAACTATTACCATCTGGCAGACGGTACAGGATAATAAAAACAAGGACAAATAGGGCTGAAAAACAGCTGCTATCCCAGGGCAGTAATTCTATTGAATTCTACTATACAGTGGTGTTGGGCATTTTCTGTTCAATGTGTGGAGTGTGAAGGATGTGTGTTTGTGTTTTATTTTTAAAGTTATAATGTACTCTGAAGATGGTATTTAATTTCATTGGACAAGGTGCGATGACAATAAATTAAACTGAACTGAACTAAACTAAACTAATCTAAACTAAACTAAACAAAGTAAAGTAAAGTAAAGTAAACCAAACCAAACCAAACCACACTAAATAAAGTAAAGTAAAGTAAAGTAAAGTAAAGTAAACCAAACCAAACCAAACCAAACCAAACCAAACCAAACCAAACTAAACCAAACTATTCCTTGACTGAGCTGATTTATTTCTGGCTTGCCTGTGTGGCAAATTTAGAAAAGGCATCCTTGTTGAAGCACTGCTCTGCAGAATTACAGGTGGCTCAAAAGGAACAGAAGGCTAAGGGGAGAAATAAACAACAGCCTTCTGATGTTTAATGGACTATAATAGGGAAGATGAGTTTATTCTCCAGAGCTCCTGAAGGTAGGACAAGAACTAATAGGTGGAAGCTGACCAGAGGAAGATCTAAATTCAAAATAAGTTTCCTGACCAAAAGAATTATAGATTGTTGTTGACTTATTACTGTAATTGGAACCAAGTTATGTTACTAAGCGATGCGATAAAGTGAGTCACACCTCATTTTATGACTTTTTTTTGCTGTGGCCGTTAAGCAAATCACATCGTTAAGCGAATGGCTTCCAGTTTGACTTGGATTGTTGGAAGCCCCCCACGCCCCCCCCCCCTCCCCGGGAGGGTGCCAGTGTCGATCGTGTGACCCCATGGGCAAATATGTGCCAATTTCCAAGCACCCAAATTTTGAAGACATGACCTTGTGAACACTGCCACAGTTGTAAGTGAGAGGGTCAGTTGTAAGCAAGAACAGCAGTTGTAAGTCACTTTTTTCAACACTGCCATAACTTTGAACCATCTTTAAACAAATGGTCGTAAGTCAAGAACTTACCTGTATGATGCAGTGGAACGTCCTTCCTGGGGTTGTGGATATTCCATCACTATTGGTTTTCAAGTAAAGGTCTGGGATAGTAGGGAGCTGGCCTAGAAGAACTCTGAGGTTTCCTCCAACACTATGATTTTGTGCTTTGTGGTTTATTCTGCCTGGATTGTGGAGGTCATAGCAATGGTTACTCCCCCAGATCCTATCCCTGCTGAATGCTCAGAGCTATCCTAAACAATGCATTTCTCTTCCTTGGCTCTGATCACCAAAAATGCTTAAGGTCTTTGGGAAAAAATAAACAAACATGGCAATAGAACAAATTGGCAAGCCCACCCACCCGCATCTCCATACAGGAAAGAGGAACGATGACTTTGCAAGTTCCGTTCATGGCAGTCGTTCTTTTAAACGGAATAGGCTACAAGTGCTAGCAATTTTTCTTGCCCTTTTGTTTAAAATGGGGTTGAGGTGATTTTTGTTGCTTTAAGATCTGCAATATTTCAGAGGAAGAGATTCTCAAAACAAAAGAAAAAGAGTTGTGAGGGTCCTCAGAGGTCTTAGTCCAACCCTGTACTCAGGCAGGAAACTCTATAAATTTCAGACAAATGACGGTCCAACCTCTTCTGGAAAACTTCAAGTGAGGGAGCACCCACAGCTCCTGGAGGAGGCAAACTGCACCACTGATTAATTGTTATCATCGTCAGAAAATTTCTCCTTAATTCTAATTCTTAGTTTTTCTTTGGGCAGCTAGAAGTCAGCGCTGAAAGATGTATGACTTTCTCCAATCATAGGTCAAGCTGATTTTTAAGTAACTGGAAAATATAAAGAATATTGTGGAAGATCTTTTAGCCCTCTTTCTCATTTTCAGAATGCAGGTAGTCCTCATCTTATCACCACAATCAAAATTTCTGTTGCTAAACGAGATGTTAAGTGACTTTTGCCCCATTTTACAACTTTCCTTGCCACAGTTGTTAGGTGAATCACTGCAGTTATTAATGTAGTAACACAGTTGTTAAGTGAATCTGGCTTTCCCATTGGCTTTCCTTGTTAGAAGGTCACAAAAGATGATCATATGATCTTGGAACACAGCAATTGTGACAAATACTTGCCAGTTGCCAAGCCTCTTCATTTTGATCACATGATCATGGAGAGGCTGCAACCGTCATAAGTGTGAAAAATGGTAATAAGTCATTTTCTTCAGTGCTGTTTTAACTCAAACAATTACTAAACAAACGGTTGTAAGTCAAGGACTAGAGTTGACAGTGAGGCCTTTAGTTCGGCACATCAAAATGCCTGGAATAATGCGATACCTCTAACAAGTACAGACAATTAATATACCACTAAGCATATGTTTATCAACTACTTTGAATAAGCTGTATCATATTCAAGCGGATCTTAACCTAAGATCTTTTCTAGGAAATTATTCTTCTGTACTCACCCAATGAGAGATGTTTCAATAAAGGGGTACATTAATAGTTCAAACATTCACTTTATTCAGTAAAGTGAGGGGTTTTTTTTTCTTCCGCAGAAGGAGATGGTGATGTCCTATCAACTACCTCTTACAATGCTTGATGACCCATTTCAAAGGCAGAAATTAACAAGTGCTGCCAATGTGATTAGCAAAACTATGGGTGAGTGAAAAGATAACAAAATAATGTTCAAAAATATAATGGGCAGAAATTCTTTTAACTGCTTGGTAAAAAGTGAAAATAATTCAGCTTCTTTTTCCTTTCCCCTTCCTTGTCTGTTGAAAATGAAAAAGCGAAAAGTATTAGCATCACAGCAAAGGCCATTGTGGAAATCCCCTTCGGTCCTTTCAAAATATTTGTTCACACATATTTAATAATGAACTATAAAAATAATTCCACCACATATTTATGGGGTCTTTGGTGTGCCTGAACTTGGTTGGGTTTTTTTTTTTTTTCATTACCAAACTAGTAATGAAATGTATGAAAGAAAAGTTTGGCAATGTTTAATTAATTTGGCAATGAAGCATCAAGAAAAAACAACAACAACCTAGCTCAAAAGCACCAAGGTCAGGACCCCAATAATTCAACCCTGAGCTACAAAGATTATCTTCTATCCATGCTACATGTTTGTTTGGTTTTCTTAGATTAGAATGCCTTGGCCATGCTTGCTCTGGTTGGGTTCATCAGTCGGAATAGTGACACTGTATGTGTGATTCTGATTCCATATGCCTGACAGTTCCTCAGCCTTGGCCCTTTTAAAAGATGTGGACTTACACTCCCAGGGTTGTCTGGCCAGCTGGCTGAGGAATTCTGGGACTTGAAGGCATACCTCTTAATAGGGCCAGAGGTTGAGAAACTGTCAAGAACATGGTCTATAGCCATGATGGCGAACCTATGGCACGCGTGCAGAAAGCCGTCAGCGCAGCTCAGTTCCACTGCTCATGTGCATACCTCCCACCAGCCAGCTGGTTGTCGGGTATCTGCTACGCATACACGGGGGGTGGGGCGCATGCAGGAGACATGCGTGCATGTGCAGGAGCACAGGTTGTGCACAAGGTGGTCATGTGCGTGCATGCACAGGGGCATGGGTTGCATATGGGGACCCAAATGCGCATGCGCAGGAGTGTGGAAGGGTTGTGCACACATGTGCAGCGGCTCGGGGGGAGTCATGTGTGCATTGCATTATGGATGCAGGCATGCGACAACGAAAAGGTTTGCCATCACTGGTCTATAGTCTAAAGGTGGCACTTGGATTGAACCCACAGTAACAGTCCACGTGACCAGATCTGACCGTACAATCTTTTTGTGGTGGTTGTTAAGCAAACAGTTGTGAACGTTATTGTCATTATATAAACCCATTGTTTACAATGGGGTGGCCTTGACGAGAAACTGGAAGTAAACACGGACATAATTGTGGACACATAACCGTGGCGGATTGCAAAACCCTGTATATGCGGCTGAGTGCCCAAAGTGTCATATGACTCCAGGGCAGATGTTGGAACTTGAAAACCAGGTCGTAAATATTTTATTTATTCATTTATTTGATTTGTCAATCGCTTACAAGATAATAGGCATAAGTATAAACATGAGTAAGAATACAGGAAATAGGAACTAATAATTGGGGATAACAGGACAGGGACAGTACGCATAATGGTGCACTTATGCACGCCCCTTACAGACCTCTTAGGAATGGGGTGAGGTCAATAATGGATAGTTTGAGGTTAAAGTGCGGGGGCGGGGTAAGAGAATGTAACAACAGAATAAACAGAGTAGTTTTGTTGTTTTGGAATTTGTTGTAACATTGAAAAGCCACTTAGTGATTATAAATCTAGGATGTATCATACTAATTTGTTAGTTTAGATGCGCTTTCAGGTTAAGCATGTGTATTAGTGCCAGTGATTACCTGGAAAGTTAAAACAGAAATTGTTATTCTGTATTAAGTTCTAAAATAATAACTCATAATCATGTTCCTCTTGGTCTTCAGAATGGGAAGAATCCAAATTTGAATTTCCTCCCGGCCTGAAAGAAGCTATCAAAAAGCATCTGATTTGGCAGTGCTGTTCGCTGTGGTTGCAAATAAAGAATATATTGAAGAAAATAATGATAAATCCTTTAATGGAACTATTTATTACACTGTGCATTATAACAAATACCATGCTGATGGCATTGGAAAAACTTTCATTATCACCAGAACAGGTTACTAAAGGAAATAATGTAAGTGAATTCAAATTCTTATTAAGGTGCATGCCAGCCAATAATTATGTTTTCTGGGAAAACGTTTCTTTTTGAAACCTCGGTTCTCTAAATGTACCGATTAATTATGCATTAAATTATTCATTTTCTTCTACTCAGATCTCTGAACTCAGTCAGTTGCATAATGAATTGGCCAGGTCATCTTCAGGAGCAGTCAAGAAAACTCAAGATGGTTTTAATAATTGCTGTCTTGATTTTTTGATGCCTTCCTGCCCATTATGTGCCCCTGGAAGTGGCGATCAGATGAAAAAAGAAAATAGCACAACAATTATATTCTTCTATAGGCATGAAAGCTGGCTTGGGTCAATTACCAGGAGACTCTGAGTTCTAGTCCTGCCTTCTGCATGAAAGCTACCTGGGTGACTTTGGGCTAGCCACTCTCTCACTCAGTTCAACTCACCTCACAAGGTTGTAATAGGGAAAATCAGTGTAGGAAGGAGTATTAGGGATATTCACCATCTTGAGTTACTTATGAAGTAATAAAGGAGGGATTAAAATCTAATAAATAAATAAATAGACTTTGCCTTCTGCAGTAATAAATCCGGAGCAATCAGTCTTTCATAGTTTTGATGTATTTTCTTGTAGGTGTTCACTGCCATTTTTACAGCTGAAATGGTCCTCAAGATGATTGCCCTAGATCCGTATTACTATTTTCAGTGCTCCTGGAATGTGTTTGACTTCACTGTGGTTATTGTAGGCATAATAAACCTGTTGCTAAACATGCGAGCACCAATTTTCAGAACGGTAATAAAGAACCCTTTTGATTCAGTCAAGTATAAGTCTTTTATGTCCATCCTGTGAATGAACTCCCACTTTTTAAAGGAAACGAATTAGAATGCTAAATTTGAGTAATGAAGTGCCTTATTTTTGGCAATAATTAAATTGCCCTGCTTTTGCTGGATGCATATGCTATGTTGTTGTCTTGGTACAGTACAAGGTGAGAACAAATAATATATAATAATGACAATCATGCCCTCTTCTCCTGAGCAGGCCTGCTAGAATAGCTTGTCACCAGAGAAACAGCATATGAAGCAGCGAATTTACCCATTGATTCAGAAAGCACTTCCTGGCATCAGGAAGCGTTTGTAATCTTCTCTGGATCATCAGTGTCAAACATGTACCATATATACTTTCAGAAGTAAATGCCATCCTCTTGTATAAGTGGGTGTTTATACAAAAGGGCACTTTGAATTTCCTTTTGGTAAGAATAGTCTGATACCTATTTTGTCAGTAGAATGAACTGTGTACCTAGTATAAAACTCAAATCTAACTACTGGATTTCTGTTTTCTTTCCTTTCCTCCCCAACCCTGCCTTATCCCCAACAGTTGAGAATCTTCAAACTTTCAAAATTTTGGCCAGCTTTAAATAAGCTTATGAAAATAATGTTGAAATCAGTAGGCCCTCTGGGTAACCTCACCCTTGTTCTGATATTCACTGTATTCATTTTTGCTGTGGTCGGCAAGCAAGCCTTTGGGAATTATTACAGCGCTGTCACTGCTAATGCTAGCATCTGCAACAGCAATAGTGTGCCAAATTGTGCTTCCACTAACAGTTCTGAGACATGCCAGTTGCGCTGGCATATGAAGGATTTTTTACATTCATTTCTTATTATATTCCGAATTCTGTGCGGAGAATGGATTTCTACCATGTGGGAGTGCATGCAAGTTGCTGGGGAAGGACGGTGCATAATTCTATTCATGCTGGTCCTGATTTTAGGAAACCTGGTGGTAAGTTTCCAAATATTTTTGTCAGAACTATTTAAATTAGAGTCCTTCTTAGTTAACAAAATGAGGAAGGGAACTTTCCCCTCCAAAATCTGTCATCTAATTTCTAGAATAATTCATAATGTGAATTTTTATTTATTTATTTATTAGACTTTTATGCCCCACATCTTGCTTAGAGGTGCCTCTGGGTAGCTTACAAAAATTTTAGGTGAAAAGGAGATTTGTTTCCTCAATCTTGCATCTTTCTCAGAGTTGATAAACTTTTACAGTACCGGTATATACAGTTGTACAGTACAGTGCAACTTGTGGCTACAGTTGCAACCAAAATTTCTCTTGCTAAGTGAGATAGTTATTAAGTGAATTGTGCTTTATTTTACAACCCTTCTTATCACCATTGTTAAGTGAATCCCTGCAGCTGTTCAGTTAGTAACACAGTTGCAAAGTAAATTTGGCTTCCCCATTGACTTTCCTTGTCAGAAGGTCACAAAAGGGGATCATATGACCCCATGTCATGTCATAACTACATGCAACAACTACAGCATTGGAGCCAGTAGATGGCAGTGTTTGTAAGTTTGTTAGTTTTATCTATGGTATGCTCTATGTCTTTTCTCTATATAGAAAGTTTTATGTTTCCTTCTAACAAGCAGTAAAGCACATGGTGATTGTGCATTTTGTTCTTGAAAGTTATATAAACAGAATTTCTAGCGAACTTAATAAATAATCCATAATGCTACTAAAAAAAATAAATTCACTTCATAGAAATCATCACGAGTCAAACTCAGTTGGAAGAAAACTTTTGCCAGATTGAAGGAATTAGCTAAATTAATGACCTTGGGAGACAATGGGATGCATTGTTCATTGCTTCATGGATTTTTTTTTTCATTGTTCAAGTCATACTATTTTCACTGGTTGCAAGCACAGCCAGAGAAAAGCTGGAATTAATACCTGCTATCTCCTGTGTTGATCTTTCAGAATTTGTACTGAATGCCCACTCTTTCTATCCTCAGAGAAGGGATCGTGACTTTCTTTTTCAGCCAGGTCTTTAGCATAAAATTACTAATGATTTTAGCAAATGCTTTTACTGGACTATTGATAGTTAGCTGCCTTGAGGATTCTGTGGATGGAAAGGGTGTCACGGATTGAAACTTCTAAGTTCCTAATAGAGAAATGGAACTTGATTGGAGCTTCCTAACTACCTCACTTTGCGTTGAAGAGAGAAACAAGTGAAAATTTTTATCCAGTTATTTCAGGAACAAAACTAAAGAATTGGCAGTATTTGAGCAGTGGTGTTCCCATGGGCCGCTTCCAGAGCATAGTGTTTACACTGCAGAAGAAAATGGCTTGATGTTGTAATCCTATGTGTATCGATTCAGAAATAAGCCTTATTATCCCAGGCCTTATGGGTAGGGTTGTAGTATAAACACAGGTAGTCTTTGACTTACGATCACAATTGAGCCCTATATTTTCATTACTAAGTGAAACAGATGTTAGGTGAGTTTTGCCTCACATTACGACCTTTCTTGCCAGTTAAAAGAATCACTGCAGTTGCTAAGTTAGTAACGCAGTTGTAAAATGAATCTGGCTTCTCCATTGACGTTGCTTGTTGGAAGGTCACAAAATGGGATCATGTGACTGTGGGACATTGGGATTTTTGATCATGTGACCATGGGGATTCCACAACAGTCATAAGTGTGAAAAATGGCCCTAACTCCCCTTTTCAGTGCCATTGTAAAGTACTCACTAAATTAATGGTTGTAAGTCAAGGCCTACTTGTGTATCTTACTCTCAAATAGATACTTTTCTAATTTTTTTTTAAAAAATCTTGCTTTTCCCTCCCACTCAGGTCCTCAATCTCTTTATTGCTCTGCTGCTGAGTTCCTTCAGTAGCAGTGGTTCCGAAACAGAGGAAGATAACTGCAAACCTGACCCTGGAAAGGCTTTGGCACTTATTCAGAGAGGGCTGCGATTTGTCAGACTTTTCCTGTGGGATTGGTGTTGCCATGTCTTCCTGAAGAAGCTGAGGATAACAGGCACGAAGAAAAAGAGTGAGACCACCCTCACTGAAAGATCCTGTGATGCCGAACCCACGAAAGAGATGTCAGCGAACTTTGCTGGCATGGAATCCTCCGGGAACTGGGATAAACTTCCGTGGGATAGAAAGCAGGAAGATTTCACGATAGATTACAGAGAGATCCCCCCTATTCCCCTGGCTGAACTGGAGACATTAAGCATTGAGGAAATGGACCCTAGTACCCTGGTAGGAAACAATTATCCTAACTTGCTTGGGGGCGGGGGATTCCCTATAAAATATAATTAAACAACGGGGGAAATTTCTTTCTAGTTTTTAAGTGGTTCTGTATTGGCTTCCTTTTTTCTTGACATGTACCAACCGAATTTTCTATTAGCAGTGGCATCCAAAGGGATTAAACAGCTTAATTGGTAATAAAAGCTCTTTGCCAGGATAAAAGAACTGAAAAATCATGACTAGAAGTAGTAATTCTGGTTGTAATTCGGTAATTACAACCATAATTGGGACCAGAGTTTTCCGCTGTTAGCCAGGGCAGTTGTTAAGAGAATTGTGCCTGATCTTATGATCCTGTCTGTTAAGCAAATCACTGCAGCGAATCATGTAGTCGTTAAGTGAATCTGGCTTTCCCTCATTGACTTTGCCTGTTGGAAACTGGCAGGGAAGGTTGTATATAGGGATTACGTGACTCCAGGATGCTGCAACCATCATAAATACATTCCAGTTGCTGAACAACTGAATTTTGATCATGTGATTATACACATACAGGTAATCCTCAACTTAGAACCACAATGGAGCCCAAAATTTACATTGTTAAGTGAGAAATTTGTTAAGTGAGTTTTGCCCCATTGTTTTTGTTAAGTGAATCACTGCAATGTAATTAGTAAAATGGTTGCTAAGTGAATTGGGCTTCCCTGTTGACTTTGCTTGTCAGAAGTTTACAAAAGAGGAATCACAAACCTCCTGGTCACTGCAACCATCATAAATGGGAGTCAATTGTCAAGCATCTGAATGTAAATGACACGACCTTGGGAATGCTACAGCGGTCTTAAGTGGAACAATTGGTCATAAGTCCTTTTTTCAATGTCGTTGTAACTTCAAACGATCACTAAATGAACTGTTGTAAGTCGAGGACTACCTGTATTGTGCCAGTCATAAATACGGGAACTGTTTGCAAGGCCCTTTTTCAGTGCTGTTGTAACTTGGAATGATCACTAAAGAATGGTTGAAGTTGAGAATTACCGCTATGTAAGTTGAATAGCAGATCCTGAGAAGAGATGAGGTGCTGGATTTCTCTCATTTTACTGTATATCTGAGGTGGCCCATTGTCTCAGCTGAGCTTGTCAGCTGGCAGCCTGTTGTCTTAGCTGGGCTGGAAAACTGGCAGCCCGGGTTTGAGACCCAAGTGCCATGTGAGGGATGAACTCCTGCCAACCAAGTAGTTTGAAAGCATGCAAATGTGAGCAGATAAATAGGTACCACTTCGGTGGGAAGATAACAGCGTTCCATGACATCATGCTGGCCACATGATCATGAACATGTCTTTGTCAGCACTGGCTTAATGGTCTTGAACAGAGATGAGCATTGTCTTCTAAAGTCAGCAACAACTAGCGAAATAAAATCTGATGGGACTCCTTTATTTTTATATATTTATTTAACTGTATATACAAGCCTCTGGAGGAATAAATATTTGGAATAATCTAAATATAGTTCTAACATGCATATACAATACAAAGCAATGCATGTTTCATGCCCTGAAGAACGTGGATGACATAATTTACTCTTGTGTGTTCATTACATTGATAATATTTCAGAATAAATGGTTAAGATTTTGTCATGTCTTTACTGTTGTTAATACCATTTTATGTTTGATATGGAATTTTTTGGTGATGGAAAAACTTGAAGAAAACATTTTGGCATAGCAAACTATTTCTTGGCTGTCTTTTTCTAGGAGAACAATCTGCGAAAGAGGAGAGAGATACACCAAGGCCAAAATCGAAGACTCTCTTCTCAAGTTTCTGACACTACAAGTATTTGGTCTTTGGATATACCCAAGGTAAAGCAAATAAAAATGGTCAACACAGCTTCTTCATTACTTGCTGAGAAAATTGTACTATGCATTCTCTAAAATTTGACCAATAAAGTTACCATTCTTAGGTTACTCTTACAAAAAGGTTCCAGAATTTATTTATTTTTTGTCTCATCCCCTTGGCATGCAGTGGGCCCTTTTCAGGGATGGGATTCTACCAGTTTGCACCTATTCACTAGAACCAGTTGTTAACATTCTAAGCAGTTCAGAGAACCGGTTGTTAGAAGAAATTACTGGCCTAATCCTGTAAGGAAGGTAGGAACGAAGCATTCTGGTATTGCTTACAGAAACTGCCTCTCTGTTAACACTTATTACATTCTTGGCAGGACTAGACTTCCTGTCTCAGGAATGTCTCTGGAGATTTTCCCCCCTCCTTTGCTGGTACTTTGCTTGTGTGGAGTGGCCATTCAAAGTTACAATGGCAGTGAAAAAATTGACTTATGACCCTTTTTCACACTTACGACTGTTGCAGCATCCCTACAGTCATGAGACACCAGGCGAGGAGATGCATGCCTCAATGTGAGTGATATTGAGTTGGCCACACCCAGCCAATAACATGACCACCAAGCCACGTCCACCCAGTCACATGACCACCAAGCCACCCCCGCCACCTAAGCCACACCCACAGAACCAATTGTTAAAAAAATTGAATCCCACTCCTGGCCCTTTTTATAAGCACGGAAAGACAGAATTGATTTTGTGTGGTCCCCTTTCCCCCCGCTATACTGTACTTTACTACCCTCTGTCAGGGCAAGCAGTTTTTGAATTTAAAATCCAAGCAAATAGCATCCATTCTTCAAAGGTATGTCATTTGGGTGAACAATAAATCCTGTAGGAACTCTAATTGTATAAACTCAAAATACACTCCATTTAGAGCACATCATACTGTCGTAGCAATAAGGCCGATCAAAACATTGAATAAAGCATTTTACATTTCACTCATTCATTTGTTTATTTGTTATCTAATTGATTTATGAAACCACCCATCAACACATGATTCAGGGCAGCCCATGAAACACAGTATAAACACATGTATAAACAATGACTCGATTTTAGAAAACCTTACAATGAAACACAGTATAAAGACATAATGTGGCAGTTAGGAAATATGAAATACTGTGTTTCTCAAATAATAAGGCTGGGTCTTATTTTTTTTTTGAGCCCCGAAAAAATGGCTAGACTGTCTTTTCGGGGGTGACTTAATTCCCCCCCCCTTGCATCTTCGGGTGGGCGGCGACGGCTGGGATGTTGACCTCGGCGTTGGTGGGGCACTTCGTATCGGGGTCAACGCAGGCAACACCATATCCGGGTGTGCAACAAAAGTACTTCCTAATGGCAAGCCCCCCCACCATTTCCCCCCATTTCACATGTTTTAATATAGGCCTTAATTTGGGGGGAGGGGCTTAATTTCATTTCATGCCTATAAAACATGCTGGGACTTCCTATTGGGGGAGGCCGTATTGTTGGAGAAACAGGGTACATATGTACATACTGTGGCTTGCCTCCACAAGTTGTGGGCACTCCATCACTGGAGGTTTTTAAGAAGAGAATGGGCCGCCATTTGTCTGGAATGGTATAGGGCAGTGGTGGCTAACCTTTTTGGGTTCCTGTGCCAAAAATTGTGCGCGCGCTTGCATGCTCGCACTCACGTGCCAGCACCCGGAAGGCAATACGCACCCCCCCACCCCCTACTCATGCATGCATAATCCCCACCCCCGACACCCCCTTACCTGCAGTGCACCTCACAGCTGCTTTTTGGCCAGTTTGAGGCCTTTTTCAACCTCCCAAGGCTTGAGAAAGGCTTCTGCAGGCTTCTGCAAGCTTTGTAGGCCAAAAACTAGCCACGTTTCATCACTTCTGGTATTTTCAGAAAAACAGGAAGTGACAAAACGGCCGAAAATCCGCTGTGAGGCATGCACATGCACAGTGAGGTGAGTTTGCCTGCAGCTCGCATGCTGACATAAATGGCTCTGCGTGCCACCTGGGTATAGGGTCTCCTGCTTCAGCAGGGGATTGGACTAGAAGACCCCCAAGGTCCCTTCCAACTCTGTTATTCTATATTTTGCACATGAGCAGTTTGGGGCAGTATAATGTCATCCTGAACCAAAGTAGAAAATCTCCAGATCCGGATAGTCCTCAAATCATGTTTTTCTTGTGGCTTACGATTATGTGTATAATTTAAGCCATGGGTAAATTCCCTAGGTTTTCTGCATACTACTTGGAGATCTCAAAGCTCTGGTAAAAAAAGTATGTTGAGTTTCAGCCTTTTTCTTTTCCTGTCATGAATAGAGTGTTCCTGAATAATGTGCAGAGCTGCCTTAATACGCTGGTTTTGGTTTTTCTTTTCTCATATCCAGAGATCGGATTGCGATACGAGCTGTTCAGAGATCAGCACAGTGGATCAGAGATCTCCTGTCCATCAGGTGCTTGAAGTCAAAAAGGAACCTCAGGACTGCTTCCCACAAGGTGAAGGCCAGCTTTCTTGGCAGGAAATTAGTCCGGATAGAAAGACCTGTTGAAATGTTGATCAGTGGCAGCCATCCTTTTTAGTAAATGTGCTAGCTCCAATATTATGGTTCGCCTGGATTATTAGTATTATTATATGGTTGCACGGTTAGCCAGGTGTTTAGACTGGATTTGGCATCTTAATCCACCTATTGAGTCCTTTCCAAAGACCTAGGATTGATAGATGGGGATGTTTGATGATGTTAAAGGTTATAAGCTGTTCTGGGTAAAGCAGGATTCGCTTGCAATTACCTTATTGTTATCTTTGCTTAACTACTTGTCAGTTGTTATATGTACAGGTAGTCCTTAATTTACAACCACAATTGGAACTGGAATTTCCATTGTAAGATGATGTGGTGGTAAGTCAAATTGCACCTAATTTTATAACAATTTTACATCAATCATTAAGTGAATTGCATGGTTGTTGGGCAAATGAAAATTGCAAGCGAATCCTGCTTCCTCAATGGTATTTATTGCCAGACAAAATATTGTGTGACTGCAGAATGCTGCAACTGGTCATAAGTGTGATGCAGTTTTGCAAAATTCTGAATTGCAGTCGTATGATTGCAAAAAGAAAAAGAGAGAGAGAGAGAGAGAGAGAGACCCCAGGAAGGAATTGGGACGTGGTCCATTTTGAAGAACTAATGATTTCTTTGTTCTTTATTTCAGTCTTCATGAAATTGTTTCCATGCTGCAGAGTGAATACAGATACATTTCCAGGCAACACTTGGTGGAGATTTAGAAAAACCTGCTACAAAATTATAAAACATAATTGGTTTGAATCCTTTATTATATTCATGATATTACTGAGTAGTGGTGCTCTGGTAAGTTTACTGTACTTTGAATCAACTCTGCATTTCTTGAGCTTCTGCTGTTAACAAGATACTTACTAATAATACAGATACTAGACTAGAATATGGAATTGAATATAGAATAGAATAGAATAGAATAGAATAGAATAGAATAGAATAGAATAGAATAGAATAGAATAGAATAGCTTTATTGGCCAAGTGTGATTGGACACACAAGGAATTTGTTTTGGTGTAAATACTCTCAGTATACATAAAGAAAAGGTACATTTGTTAAGAATCAAGAATCTTAATGTACAACACTTAATGATAGTCATAGGGTACAATCAACAATCAAATCATACTAGGAAACAGTCAATATAAATGATAAGGATACA